ATACAAATCAACAACGATGACTTTAAAAACTCCGAAAAATGTGGCCTCGAAAACAAAGCTATGGTTAAACTTTACTTTAGGCGACCAAAATTTGTCGACTTATCATAACATATTCTCGCAGATATTGACGAGAAAATACCGAAAATGCAAGTTTTAAGAACCTTCTCCCTCATGTAACCCCCCAAAAAATATTTTGTGATATTACAATAAAAATATCTCCCAAAGTAATAGTTTTCCGACATTAGTAGGTTAATACATTCTTATTCGTAATCCCGAGATGCGTCGAATCGTGTACAAAATATTATACGAATTTATTAGAAAAAATGCAGATGATCGTGTGTCCTTCGAGCGTACACTTACAAACAAAATAGCGTTACATTTTTTCAAATAACGAATAGATCCCGAGATAATCGCACATAGTGATTAAAATAAGACACTCTGTATATTAAAACGAATCGTTTCTACGATGAAACTAATAATTTTTGTAATGAAATATAATTACACGTGAACAATCATTATATAACTATGACAGCTAATTCCTGTCAGCAGAGTTCTAATTTAGATAAAAGCAATAGAAGCTCGAATATTAAAAACAATTTATGGTAGAAAATTCACTGTGTGTCAAAATAAATATCAGGCGATAATTATCCTTTCCACCCGTTTTTAAAAAATGTATCTGTCAATTAGCAACGTTTAATTCGTGCTGTTCTTTCAAACATTTTTCATTTTGGTTCGGTATATGCATGTATTTAATAGCCGTTATTGCGATGTTCTAAAATTTTTGGCCAACGTCCTACGAGTGCAATGATCCGGAGTTCAGACTCAAAAAGACATCATCTGCTTGACCAACGCTCCTACGAATTTCTTCGAGTGAATCAGAACGTCTGGTCGCAGTATCTCTGTTATGTCGTTATGTAACAATGAGAAACGACGAAGAAGTTACCGGAAAATCTCCGGAGCTGCCAATTTCTTTGTCCGCAATGGTGGCACAAATAGCGGGTGGTTAGCATGAGAACCTGCTTCGTTCGTGAACCGCAATATCACCGACACTTCTCAAAATGATTCAAGGAAATTAGCTGTAGATCTAGAGATCATTGATAAAGTGCCGGATTTTTGAATAAATAAATTTCATATAATACGTGAACACGTAATATAGAAAAACAGAAAATCGATTAGCATAAGGACGACATGTTTCTACTTCATGAGATGAAAGCGCACTTAACCCTCGGAAAATAGAGCCGGGTCATCTCTGACTCAAGGCAAAATCTCGGATAAACAGATTCACCGCTACGAAAGTGCAATTTTTTTCTTGCATTTTATAAATGGATTTATTATAATATATATTATATATATTAATAATATCTAATATATATTAATATTATATATATTATATAATATATATTAATATTATATATATTATATAATATATATTAATATTATATATATTATATAATATATATTAATATTATACAGGGTGTCCCACAATTATTTTAACAGCCGAAAATGAGGGGTAGCTGAGGTCATTTGAAGTAACTTTTTCCTTTGCGAAAATGCAATCCGCGGTTTTGTTTACGAGTTATTAACGAAAAACACTGGCCAATGAGAGGTGACGGTGCGAGAGAGAGGGTCCGCGAGAGAGTCCGCAGCATGAGGCTTTGACAGAAGGTCGGGACGGACTCGAGCCGCGATCGAAGTATTGAACAAGTCACAAGGCGAGAACTTTGCGGATTTTTTTTACATAACGGATTTTTTACATAACAGTGATATTTTTAAGAAAAACGCTGTTCACCTTTACTTTAGAACGTCTGAAGAATATT